GGGTGATTGTTACATCTACGTTGCTATTTCTCACAAAATATAATCACAGAACATTATGGAATCAAACAGATCTGAAAATATGTTGAAAACATAATGTAGTTTGATGTGAGGAAGATACAACACGTGAAAGTAACTTACTCCATCATGGATGAGTGACTTCCAGGAGTGCTCCAATTTCTTGATCACTCTGTCAGAAAAAGTATTGAAAATCAATTTACTGCTAGCTGAGTGTTAAAACTGTGAGTTTTTTTAAATGTATTTAAACCTTTGTTTTACCAGGAAAGAAATCCATTGAGATTATTAATCTCTTACAAGGATGTCCTGGGAGTATAACCCCACCTGCCATGCTGATGATGCACATGTTAAATATCTATTTAACAAACTCTATTAGCATTTACCATCTCCTGATATCATCATTTGTATTTAATGAAAGACAAAATTATGTGTTGTATGTTCCTGATACTATTTTTTGGCCTCGTATTGTTTTTTTTTTTTTTTTTAAGTCAAAGCATCATGTCTGGATTATTGTCAACCTCTACATAAACATGTCCAACTTTAAAAGTACCAATTACATGTTTACCATGTTTTGTTATGAGACAGACTCATCCTATTTTTTCTCATTGGTACCTCCACCTTTTCTTTATTTGTTCTTCTTTCACTTAGACAGTCAATTCAAGTATTTAAATCTGTTCTAAGAATTTGAAATAAACACCTTCAGCCATAAAGCTAAAACTCATGTTCGTATCTCTTTATTTGCCTACTAATTAAATTGCAACAAAGATTAAATCCTTACCTGTAGGACTGTAGAATGTCAATAATTCCAATGAACAGCAGGAGGTGCTCTCCCTTACTGCTCATAGCAGGAATCCCACCCATCCTAGAAACAGAACTGACAAGTTAGCATCATGTGTCAGTTTGATATTATGGTGTGGCTAAATATGATGACTCACGTGTCTTCTTGGTCCAGTGTGTCCCTGCATGTGGACCCTCCTTGAATGGACTCCATAGCAGTAGAATACAAGGCTCTCTGCCCTGCAGGCTTCTTCTCGTCCCCCCCTCCTGTGGGGGAACCCTGGGCCTGATGCTCTCTCTCTGCATGGTTCTTGTTGTGGATGCCAAGCAGCAAACTGTAGTCCATAATTTTGAAACTCTCCAGAACCTAACATGAAACAAAACATATACTTATTTTCTATTTTGCATTTGAATTTTGCAGCTTGGAATATGCATAAAATAACCAATTCCTTCATTTTCTCTCTCTCTTTCTCACCAGGCAGTCTCTTTGCAATGTTTTGACCAAAGCGCTGAATGTGTCCTGGTCCAGCGTGAGGCCCTCGGGAACAGTCGTCAAAAAATCCAAGTCTTTAAAAGTCGGCTTGGACTTTTCTCTTTCCTTTTTGGAGGCTCGTCTCTTGTACGTCGAGCCCTTCAGATCAAACTTCAAGTGCATGCTTACAGAACGCGGCAGAATGTTGTTCATCACAACGATTCTGATGTTCTTGCCTCCGCACTGGATGCAATACAGGCCAAAGAACTTTGGCAGCAAAGTTCTGGGGTTCTGATTCAAGTTCTAGAGAAGAAGAAAGAGCAATTTCTTTTTATTTTCTTGTAATTCAGCTTGTTTAATGTGTAGCAAAACCAGGAGCATGCATCTGCCAGACAGCGTGACTTGTCATGCCTAAGCAGAAAACTGTGAGCTGCTAAACCTTTAAGTGTTCTGAGCGTGGATCTTTGCTTTCACCGATCAGACAGCTACTGATGTCACAGCTGACAGAGGGTCAACACCAGGAGGGTGGCTCAAGCGGATCAAGATAACTAGAAGCTTCAGTTACAGAGCTACTCTTAGCCATGTGCTCGTATACACAAACAACCCACAAGCACTTTGGTATTTTCACTCAGATAGTACTTTTACCACTTTATTTAAAACATTAAAAGCAAAACACTGGAATGACATTTGTCTCTCACCATGTAATATCCAGGGAGCAGCTTCTGTAGGAACTCTGCCTCCTTGTGTTGGACGGTTTTGATGATGAACTCGTCGTCACGAGTTACGTAGAAGATGGAGCCGCTAGCTCCTGGATTGGCCAGCTCAATCAGAGCCTCATTACACAGTGAATACTGGAAGGAGAAACAGAGGACACATAAATTATCATTTAACTACAACTTACCTCAAACTAGAGAAATTGCATTTCCTGCAAAAATGCAGTGTGGATGCTTATTGCTGAAGAACCTGCTGAAAAAAACAGCTGAAAATAGCTAAAAACAAGTGAAATGTAGCTGAAATGGAAGAACAAGCCTAAGTTATCAGAAGGAAGAAGAAAGAATGGCTGAAGGTTTAAATGAGCAGAAATTAGATTAAAAAAAATTCAAATTGGGGAAAAAAAATAACTAAGTGGAAGGAGCTGAAATGAGCTAAAATGTGGAATTACCTGAAAAAGCTACATTTAGCACCAAAACAGCTAAATAGTAGCTGAAATAGCAGAAAAAGCTGAAACTAGCATAAATAAGCTGAAAGGAACATATCAAGCTGAAATTAGCAGAAATAAGTTAGAAGAAGCACAAAAATGTTGTAGTTAGCAGAAATAATCTGAAAGGAGCACAAAACAGCTAAAAGTAGCTGGAAACAAAGTTTAAATTTGCACAAGGAAGCTGAAAGAAGCTGAAGCAGAACAAAATGTGAAAGGAACAGTAAAAGGTTGTAAACACATCTAAAGATATGAAGGATGCAAAATGAGCTCAATTCATTTTCTACGAGGAAAAAAGTGGAAGAAACGGCTAAATATTAAAAAAAAAGAAGCTAAAGTTGCCCCAATACCAAAAGTCATAGCAGGATTGTCCTGAAGAGCTGAATATATTTATATATGATTTGTTGAAATAGCTTAAAAGCCGCGGGAGAAAGATGTCGAAAAATGTACGAAAGAAAACTAGATCACAATAGTGTGAATGCTTCATAAACATTCCCACAATGACACCTCAGCTCCTAAAGGAAGCTGTTTGAAAGAACTCAATGTGTAAAAACAGACCATTTCAATTTTCTCTCAACAGCTTCCATTCCTTCTATGTTTTAGTTGCAGGTTTGAGACTTAAACTGGAAATAAAGAAAAGATGAAGTTGAAGAATGTAGTTTATTTCACTGACAATGTGTTTAGACACATTGAGACTTGGTTAAAATGATGCATTTATACTCCACAAGCAGACGCAAACACAAGCTTTGTTTACTGTCTGCTTCGAGGAATTGGAAGATAAGAACTCTAATCCCTGCTTGGCGAAGGTAGGCTGTCGCTGAGCACACTGTAAGTCACGGCAAGGGTGGAGGTATGTGTGCACTGTGAGTACTTACAACTTTGTGCACTGCCATGGCTTGATGTACTTATTTTCAAACTTTTCTTATGCTTTCAAATTCTTACTAACCGTCTACATGCACTAATTTAACTGATCGTTGACCAAATTCTTTCGTGTAGAAACTCAAACGCACATGAATCATTTGTTATAAGGAATAAAATTAAATGCGACTAAGGATTTTTTTTTTTTTTTTGCTTAATCCAATTTTGTGGTTTGATGCTGTGTTGTTTTCATGGCTTTATTATGTTCTTTTATTTAAAGTTAATTTTAAAACTAAAAACACTTTAATTTACAGTGGAATACTTATTATTAGATCTTGCTTGTTATTTTTAGAGATAAGACAATAAAATGTGAGCTTCTGTCAACATTGTGTATCTTGTGTTGCCAAATGTCATGGCTTAGTGCTAATAAACAATGAATTTCAGGCTCTTTCATTATAATTTTAACCATAACACAGAATCCTTTTAATAGTGTTTAACTGTTCTTTTGAGGAGTATATGTTTGATGAAAGACAAGTATCTCACCAGGTAGTCATCTGGTCGTATCCCAAAAAGTTCTCTGAAGTACCGGAAGGCCACGGGAGCGTAGGTTTTAAACCTGAAGTCTGGGAAGTGATGGGCTGGAGTGAGGTTACTCCCCTCACTGTAGCAAAGAGATTAAAAGAAGTTGAAAACATGAAATAAATACGTCACACTCATTAATAAACATCAACTTGTGTAATCACACCTGGGGAAGAAGATGCTTTCCACCACATAGAAGTCCTGCATGAGGACATCTCTCTCAGGTTTGGAGCTGAGGTTGCCCACAGTATATCCAATACCCAACTGAACGGCCCCTTTTAAGGCAGACGAGGTGGTCTGAAGGTGAAGAGCAGAGACAAGAACAAGCTCAAATGTAGCTAGACAGTAGTAAAGAATACTACAAGTATCTAAACAACTTCAAACTACCTTTTTGTAAGTTGTTTCTCCAGAGGCATCCACCCTCCTGTGGCCGATCTTCTTCTCACGAGACGAGTCTGCTCCAAATAGTGAGGGCATCTACGAAGAAGGTACAAGGAAAAATAAATACCACTAAAGCAAACAGCATTCGTTGTCTCATTCAAGGTCGTGCAGATGAGAGAGTCAGGAGTATCATGTGAAGTGACCCCTCACCTCTGTTATTTGAACCTTCTTGGCTGAATCTGCAGACAAACAGAAAAGAAAAAAACAATTAAGAGGTGTCCATTCGATGCATTATTTATCATCAGGTGTTATTTAGCGGGCTGTTGTGGCGCTGGACGCAGGATCACACTGTTGGTAAAGATTACACAGACAAATTGAAACATCATAAACACAGATAAGATACTTCCATAAGTGTGTAAAAATGACCAGGCTTTTTTCACAGCTACAGTAACAGAGACATACATAATATTACAGTACTGCTTAGACGAAAATTTGTGGCTTCTTTAACAGAGACGTAAACAATACTGCAAAGCTGAAATGCCAGTTTAACAGCTTTCTTTAAACTTGATTCAGATAAACTTGTGGTTCAGCTCACCAGCAGAGGAGTGCAGTACTTAAAGCTTACCAGCTGTCTGATAATCCAGAATGGAAATATAAATATATAGATTAAAACATATAATATGTCAAAGCAAACTTTGCTAATCAGAACTGAGGCTCTGTTCAATGTTTTCTGTCCTTAGTGGGATTCCTCCCTCAGTGAGATTTGTACAGATGAGTTAAAAAAAACTCTATTGGATTGACACCCTCTCTAATCTGAGAGCTGCCATTGGCTGAGGGCACCAAATCACATCACCATCTAAACACGCACAAGGATTAGGAAGACTCTTTTCAACCAGCAAGAGAAACTAAACTGTGTCTGCATGTGGAGGACGAGAAAGCAGGAGGTGAATGGAAAGGAGGCATTTGGCTCTAGGATGACATCACAGTGATAACTTTCAGGTTCTGATGCTGAAGATTAGGGAGAGTGCTGCTCAGAGAGCTCGGAGGATGAATTTTTAAGCTATGTTAACAAACGCCGCAGCAGATGGTGCAGCCACTAATAGACGACACGCAACTAAACACAGGAGCTCCACAAACGCCGCTGTAAAACATGGAGCATGTTTGATTTGGAAATTCTCCTAACAGCATGTTTTTAAAGATATTTAGGCCGGACTATGACTCTCGGCATCACAGTCTGGTGCAGAAATACTTTGAGCTGCATGCTAACATTATCTCTGTCCTGCTCCTTGCAAGGCGAACGCAGCATTTTTCTGTTTAGCTTTGCTCATACAGTGAAGATTCTCAGCAGATTAAAATCCAATCCAATTTAATCCAACTAGAATACAATTGAATGCAGTCAGACTGTAAAAATGTAATTATAAAACGCCAACATGCAAATGATTTTGCATCAAATCGCATTGCCTTTGCAGACAAGCGTTTGATTATTATCATATAACTCAACCCAAGGCGGATGGGAGCAGTAAACCTATAGATTTATTAAGTTTTTAATCAAACTATTGTGTTGTTTCTTTCCCCTGGATGATTCTGCAACGTTACAGTCACAAGACAGATCAGAAATATGTAGCTCACCTTAAACTCAACAGAAATGTATATAAACAGGTTTTTTTTTTTTTAGATTAAAATAATGCACAAAGATCTTTGGCATATACAATTGCATAATTTTACAGACATTTTATGAAAAACAACAAATGTAAGTTTTGTAATTGCTACAGAGACAATGACAAGGTTCACTACAGATGTTAAGATTTAAAGATTACAGATATTTGTGCAAAATTTGATGGTTATTAATTAAATTTAAAGGACCAAAGTTCATGCTCAATAATCCAGGTTAAAAAAAAAATAATAATAATAATAATCCAGCAATGTTCAGTCAAGTCATCTGGACAGTTCCGTCCTTCATCCAAAGGACTTCTTCAATCTGAGGAGCCACCAAACAAACTTGATTCCCACAAACAGCATACTCTATAGTGGGGGAAAAAACAAAACAATTTGCTCGTGCTAAGATGGGCTCCGGGGCTCGCCCTCTCCCCTGTCAACTCCTCTGAGACAGTCATGCCGGATGGCTGAAACGTCTCAGCAAAAAAAGAAATTGTCCAGATGACCTGACTGAACATTGTTAAATTTAAAGTAATGCTGTCATCTGGAATGCACAGATTTCCCTAAAGAAACAAATATATAAAAGACAAACACTGAAAAGACTGGGCTTAAGACTTTCAGTTTTGTTAAATCCTATAGCTGGGGTTGGCTTGGGTTTCCGGAGCTGTCCCTTAGTTGTGCTGCTATAGGCTTAGACTGCTGGAGGACAAACTGACCACAATTTTTTCACTATACTTCTGTCTTTACTTACTGAGTCTGCTCAGCCTGTTTTGTATTTGTAATTCTTTTTTCTATTCTTGACATGTGTTTTTGTCTTTTAGGTACACCTGCACCAACATCTGGACCTGCCATTCTGTGTTCGTTTGTCTCTTCTTTCTCTCCTCTCAAACCCAGATGGAGTTTTTCCTTTCCATTGTTGCCATTGTGCTTGCTCAGGATGGGAGACTGCAACAAAGTGAAGATTCAACGTGTCTGCTGGATTCCTTAGAGAACTTTACTAATTGGCCATCAGTGTGCTAATGATCCATTGTTAGGCTGATGGTCCTTCTTGAGCATGTGATCAGCTGGTTTTGGTTGTCAGCAGCAAAACTGGTTGATTCACTCTGAGAAGGTGCTATTTAAGAGACTGAGCTGAATACAGCACCTCAGACTGAGGAAGTCTCTCGGATGAGAGACAAAACGTTTCTACGTTTTTTTTGTTGTTGTTTTGCTTTGGTTTTTTTTTGTTTTTTTTTAATGTCCAGAGGACCAGATTTAACTTTTTTAGATTTTTCTACCTGGATTATTGAGCATGCATCATGATATTTACTAATTGGCTTTTCTATGTATGTGCATGTTCCCATAAAGTGTGCTGAGATAACATTGATGTGATTTAACGCTATATAAATAAAATGGATTGAACTGAATTATTCCTTCTAATGTACACATGCAATCTTAACTAAGCAAATTGTGTATGAATGTATTAGAACATTTTTGGGGGGTCTCTGAGAATACATGACAAAAAGACTTCTGTCAGGACATTCAGACCTGCAGATTATAACACGAGGAGGACAGGCATACACAGAGTCTCTGTGAGATTAGGGTCAGATCAGAATAATGGGTCACTAAGCTGCAAGCAACAGGCAGAACTCGGCAATAGTATTTGTGACGAGTGAGCTGAAAGATAATACATCATCATAGATAAATGCAGCTTTATTATTGCTGTCTTTTCACGAGTTTGTACGTCTTAAAGCCTGAGTGGGTGAAGAGGATTAAACATTTCTTTTATCAGCTGAAAAGATGGCTGCTATGACATTAATGTGACATCAAACACAAACGTATTGACTCTGCATTTTACATCCTTTGACTATTTGTGCACAAATGTCCAACATAACTGCACAAGCATCATACACAGCGACATATTGCTGGACCTGCTGAACTAAACACGTTTTATTTCAATGCAGCTCATATCAGGAGATTCGTTATTACGTAAGAGCAGGCTGACACTGGAAGATGTGACTGATGATGGGAGTAAAAATACCATCAGATGGTGTAGACGCAGCAGCTACACTCATGTTGAACATGTAAATGTATCAGCTCAGACATTTGCGATAGAGTAAATGTGACTGGAATCCTCTATGTGCACAGTTTATTATCCATCTGCCTCATATTTCCTTTAGCTGTATTGGAGGATTAAAGTTTGACTCATTTAATGGCCCTGCCTATAGCTTCTACACCGGCAGCTGCGTTTTAATTCCCATCAAAAACAGTCGACGACATGTTTAACATTCGTACCGCTGTCTTCGTCGTCAGGTTGGAGATACTCGCTCGCGCTTCCGTCATTCCCGGTTTCTTCTGCGGTCACCACCGACTCCATCTTCCGGCCGCTGTCAGCCTACAGGAACCAGACGCTGCGGTGTAGACGAACAAACAACCCTGACATTTCACCACTCTTTTTTTTTTTTTTTTTTTACCGCAGCAGGCTACTGGGATGTTTAACCGTCACGCGCAGAGCCAGCGGTGTCTTTGATCATCTCTTCCGCCGCTGTGCGTCAACGTCCCTGCGCGCGTGCCGCTCCATCAACGTCAAAGGAACCGTATTAACCCAAATGTGTTTTTTTTTTTTTTCATTTATTTTAGATTTAATAAGTACAGTACGACATTTATGTAGATAAATACAATTTAATAATGCAAAGCCAGCTGTTTCGACTGCCATTTAATTGTCATTAGACATTTAAATAGATATTTTCACAGATCTGTGACAATAATTACACTGGAATTGTAAAAACTAAAGCATGGCTGCAGTTGTTTCGAATTACATCCAACACATGCAGCTGATAAAATGTATGTTTAACAAATATCTCATAAATTACCCAATTACTAAACTTACAAAAGGAACCAACGTAAAAAAAATGGTGGAAACACAGTAATATGCACACTAGAATACTGTATTGCAATACTTCAGAACACATGCACAAGTATTTACTTTATGTTTCAGTGGATTTGAGATGTTCTTTTTGGTCAAACATAAAACGTTTTCCAAGTATGGTACAAAAATGACACGACAGCCAGTTATGTCCTTTAAGGCTGTGGTGGCGCAGTGGTCAGTGCTGCAGCCGTGTAATGCAGAGGCTGCAGGTTTGAGCCCAGGTTGTCAGGAAGGGCATCCAGCAAACCAATCAGCAAGTGTTGCATGAGTTCACTCACTGTGGTGACCCCAGGAGGGAGGAGCAGCTGAAAAGAACAAGTGCTAATGCCAAAGTCATTAACACACCACACCTGACACCAAACTCAATTACCCTTTACTCACCTACTGCTTCTACTGAGACACGTATGACTGAGTCAGCATAAAATATGACCCTGCTAATGTTTTAGTCTTTCCTACTTTAAGAGATTATAGCTGCAAAATGAGCCAATTTAAAATGTTAATAAAAGCAGCTGATTCTGTTTAGCAGAATGAACAATCTAGATGTTTAATGTGCAGTACTAGTTTAAAAAAAAAAGCCAAAAATACATTTGCAAGTCTGTAATAGAGATTGAATTTACATGAACTTAAAATACATTTAGCTGTTTGATTTCTAGAAACCTAAACTAGTTTTGTAGCACAAAAAAAAAAATGGACACAAATGTGCAAGACAGCATTTATTTTTCCAGTGTAATCACTAGTGACAGTCAGGACATGAGCTTTTTGACAACAGCCAACAATACTCAGTAGATTTACAGAATTGTGTAATTATTGCCATCTGTGTTCTCATAAAAATAGCTCCTCTCAAACATCATGCATGAGATGCCTTTGTATTATTTATTAGGAATAGTAGCAGTTACAGAGCCAAATGAGAGGGTGAGCATGAAGCTCTATGCTTTAAATCAATAGAGCTGCTGTCACGCTACTATTTCCATAATGCTTGCTTCATTAAACACACACAGACATGAGAGTGGTCACTGAGTGTTCGTGAAGCACAAGTGTATTACTAAATGGGAACAACGTTGGTTTTGTATGGCTAATAACATGTATTTGACATGTGAAAAGGGCTACAGATGGTTAAAAACTCGTTCCCTAACAGATATAAAAGGAATGACTGTTTTTAGGTTTTAAACAAACTGTCTTTTTTGGCCATCTAATAAATGTCCTTTAACATGGTCTTATAAAGGTCTGTTGTGAGTGGGCTCTGGAGATAAGTTGCACGCTTAGGATCATCAGGCTCTGCCTCTCCCAGGGATGGGTTTACAGACCGAGCCGTCACTGGTCCAGGCACACACACGCACAGATACCCTCAAGTCCATGTGAGAGGTCAGGAATCAGACAAACAGAGTTATATTACAGGTATGTGGGCAGGTCCTTCTCCACCACCTGCATAGAGAAAAAAATGTGGAAACATCGTGTAAGGTAAACACCATAAACACCCACCCCAATTTCAAATATTTGCAATTCTTTAGAAATTGTTCACTCTGTAACAAGTTGCTTTCAGGGCTGAGAATTTCAGAAGTTATGTTTACGAGTGCCAGAATCCCATCATGTAGAGAAATATGTAAACAATGATCATGTAGCTTACACTTGGATCATCTGTTGGACCGTATCTCTTCACCACCTGCCCCTCCCGATCAATAAGAAACTGTTCAAGAAGAAAAAAATCTCAGTAATTTTGACATAAATAAAAACTTAGTGACTTAAAATGTTTATGTAAATAAACCTTTCCATTGGTATACTCAATTTACCTTGGTAAAGTTCCATTTGATGTTGCTGTGAACAGAGGGGAAAAAATATGATCACTGACTTTTGCACACGATTTTAAAACGGTTAGAATAGAAAAAAAATAAATAAAAAGGAGAATAATGACCCACTTTCCGAAGGTTCCTTTTCCTTTGGGCTGTGCCTTCATCCACTTCCACAAAGGGTGAGCGTTGTCACCGTTCACCTCAATCTTACTGAAGAGATCGAACTCTACATTGTACCCCTTGGCAAACTCTTTAATCTCTGCTTCAGTCCCAGGTTCCTGAATGATGGGGAAAAAAGTACAGATAATTAAGATCTGTGGTATATAAAAAGAAAAGCTAGTAGTGTTTCCAAAAAGCAACTCTGAAAAACGTTTTTTCAAGTAGCAAAAAAAATGAAGAAAATTCAGAAACACTGAGCTGCTCCCAACATTACCTGGCCTCCAAACTGGTTGCATGGGAAGCCCAGGATGCGTAAACCTTTCTCAGCGTAGGAGGCGTGCATTCCCGCTAGCTGAGTGTAGTTTACCTTAGTCTTTCCTCATTTTGAGGCTACATTTACAATAATGCAAACATAACCTCTGAGAGAGAGAGAGAGAGGGGAAAAGAACAAGATTAGATTAAGACTGATGAGAAAATGTTTCACCAAATGTAGAAAGAAAATTAACTCAACTAGTCGTACCAGATAGCTGCTGGAATAAGTGCTGATAACAAGCAGAGTTTTAAACTAATTTTACATTTTACCTGTATTTCTCAAGAGAAACCTCCTCCCCATCAATGTCTTTGGCAGAAAACTCGTAGATGGACTTGGCACTGTGCCAGTCTCCCACTTGAGCACACTGATCAAAGATGGAGGGACAGGGCACACTGGTGACATTAAGACAACCACTGGATATACAGATTTACAGCAATAGAGTCTAAAAATCAATAGGTAAAATAAATTAATCTTAAGCAAGACTATGAGTCATTTTCCTGGAAAGCAATTAAAGGAAGTTAATTAATGTTTATATACATCTCTACGCACTTTGGCCCCTCGTGTCATCATTTCTGCCTCCACCCCCACAGTTTACACACAAAATAACTGTGCAGAGCAGAGAAAAACAACAGAGACTTGAGTCAACATTAATGCTAAATCACAACAGCCACATAATCGCCTTGAATCACTAATGGATTAGATATACCCTCTGTTGTTGATGGGTGCAGCTAGCGGAATGTAAAATCAGATAAAACGGTCCACAACCCAGTCATGCTATCGTCACGTAAACTAAACAAATCAAGGGTTGACTGAAAGCAGCAAATTCTAGCTCAAACCTATTCAGAATGCTGAGATGGTGAAGTTATTATTGCAGCAGCTGCGGCTAATCAAGCTAGCGTGAATGCGACGAACAACACCGGACCCATTTGTCCGCTGCACCGCAACTAAAGGAAGTCAGTCCTCAATGTCACCTACGTGTTTATCCGCATTCAGACAGCACAGTTAGTGTTGAACCTGGTGAAAGAATACTGATTAAAAATACAGATTTGTTAGGTTAGAGTGAACCTACCATGCTCTTCACTAATCCCCTGCCGCCCACCAACACTCCAAGCAGAAGTGACGGACGCAGCCACATAATGGCTGCTCATGTCACGTGACTGATTGGCTCCGCTCCTTAATGGATTGTAGCCCCGCCCACCAAAGCGTAACTTTTGTTAGTTTTCTTAAACATTTTAATAATCATTACCATATCAAAATGATTTAGTTCATCACGGAGATCGCTAAAATCGATGGTGATCCAGATGTGATCGAACTCATCGAAATCCGCAATGAGTTGGCTGAATTTTTGCTCTACGGTGGCTCAAAAGGGACTTTTGGGTCTTAAGTGCTTGAAAATAAAATACACATTGTTTTAGACAGCATGGTTAACAAAAGAACCTATGTTTCTAAGATAAATACAGAACAAATGGGGAACAAACAAGTAGTTTTTACATCCAACATTATACAATTAAGCATGGGTGAATGTAAAGACAAAATATCTGACATGAGCAGACTTTTTTTTTCTTCCTTGCAGCAGTGTGATGTGTTAAAGTTGTTCTTTCACAATGAAGAAACCATGGAATGTCTGTTAGGAAATGTGTGACATCATGAGTTTCTGATTCAAAAGAATGTGTGTGTCACCAGAAGGTCAGTGGGGGATTTACATCAGATGTAAGAAAGCACAATCTTTCTAATCAATGACAGTTAATTGATGTTTAAGAAGAGTTCACTAATAATATTTTTATTTTTTGTGGATCATTAGCCTCATATCTGGTACACAGGGCATATTAAAACATCAAACGTTATTAAAATTAGATCTGATAGATTACAGAAAATTTAGAGTCTCGAGCAGCATGTGTATTATAAGATCTATAATATATTTATTTAATTAGTTTCTTAGTTGTTTCTTTAGAAATCACTTTGCAAAACATGTAGTTCATGCTTTGGTTCAAAAGGTGGCACTACTTCATTACACATTTGTGCAGTTGATTCTGCATCCCATCTAAATTCTAACCAAATACACACCCACTGTCAAAAATAGAGGAGCAAACATGAGATTCTGTGGACCCTGAAGGAGACATGAAAGTATAAAGTTATCAAGTATTTGAGCAGATACACAAGCTTATGTCATAGATGTTCATTGAAAAAATGAATCCGCTTTATATCCTCTGTTGTTGGATGTAAAAAGTTTTTGAATAAATATATTTTGAACTAGAAAAAGTGAATGTAAAATTGTATTTTCCTCATTTTTACTGTTAATCTTTTATACTTTTGTGCCACAAAACCAAACAGACTCCATTAGTTTGATGTCAAACATATTAAAATCCCATGAAGGAACAATTTGATAGTTTTTATTTAGACGTATTTGAAACTTGAAAAGTGAACAGGATACCACACAAATACCTCACTCATGAATGCACACCAGACTGTTGGAGAAAAGCACGTCTATTTATTCCTGCTGAGTGATCTTAAGACAAGATTAGTGATGTTTGGTTGAAATTACAGTTCAGACCAATATATTTTAACAAATTGTTACAGCTCCTGTTTTAATGGTAGTAGTTTGCTGTATATCATGATATCAAAACATATATTTCTTGAATATGAAGTCTGATTTTTACTGTTTTTGCCTTTCATGCCAGAGTTTAAGACTAAAATTGTCTTCTGTTGAGAAATGACAAATGTGTGGCTGTTTTAATCCGAACCTCATTTTGTGCAGTTTCATACAATATTACAAATAAGTCACACTCAGAGTATGTGTTGAAAAAGACTACTATTACTACAACAATTTTTATTTGCATTTTTTAAAAACATTTCTGGGATATAGTTGTTTTTGTGTTGGTTGCCGTTAACAAGATGTGGTGGCCGTTTTGAATTGGATTGACTCCAAAAGTTATTCAGGTGTAGCTGTCCATGTAATAATTACCTTGTGAAAGTTGCATTAAAAGTTAGTTCTAAATAGTAATTGGTATTAAAAAAAAAAAATCATATGCAGTCTGTTTGCACTATGTATGTTAATCAGTCTCAGCCAGTACCACAACAGATTTTAACCCATCTTAAAATTGTCTTAGTTTTATTTATTTTGCATGTGCTCTTACGGTCACTTGGCTGAGGCAGCTGTCTTGACCCAAGCTGACTCAAAAGTTAATAACTTGTTGATGTCCGTCCCACAACTACTTTCTGCAAGTTTTGTTAAAACTCATCCAGAGGCTCATGTGATACTTTGAACAAAAACAAAATCACCCAGCTTTACCTTTCGGTCAAACAAAACTTTTACATTAAACTAGTGAATAAACAGCAAAAGTGGATTTATTTGTTAGTAAAAAGGGATTTCTTTGACAATTATCTTGATCATGAGGGCATGGGATGAATACTGAGTCTGTGCACACACATTCTTATGAATGCTGGCATCATCAGTCCAACTGGCTGCATTTTGGTAATCACAAATTCTTAGGGTGACGTTTGTTAATTAGACTATGACAAACACAGATTTTTACCTGAAACATCCAGAGTGAAGATCATGATTAAAAACTTCACGCGCAGCCAATTAGAACATGGATCAAAGGGGTTCTTCTGCAAAAAGACATCAGTGTGATTAGTGCAGCGTGAGTGTGTGCTGACATGCAGGGGTTACACACAGCAATTAGCTGCTCTGCATACTGTCAGAGCACCAACGTGAAATAATACAACTCGCTTCTGCTTTGCAGGTAATTTTTGCACTTAGCAGTGCTGAATAAATCAGTGTTTAATAACTTCAAGTGTGTTGGGGAACTCCATTTCTTCATAAGCGTAGTGGCAAAACTGAAATATTGAGCTGAATTCATCAACAAATTCCTTGAAATTAAGTTAAAATGTATCCACAGCAGTTACACACACCTCCGCCTCCCCACACACATTTAATTAAAACCTAATAAGGTCACAGGATGACATTTCAAAGCTGTACATGAAGCACGCATCCTAACAGCTGTCCAACAGGCTTAGGATCGCTCAAAAGTCTGATGAAGAAAAGGTTTATTGGTCTGCTTGTTTGCTTTACCTCAGCCCGAGCTGGAATGGAATGAACTCCTCGCAGCTGAAGCAGAAGCAGGCGCCAAGCCAACATTTGCTACAGGTCAAACGTTCAGTTCATGCACACCGCAGGGATGCATCTTCACAAAGAACATTAGACGGCAAGAAAACTATTACTCTTGCGAAGGTTTAAGACGGTTAAAGGGAAGCTGAAAAGAGAAGTTAACTTAAAAATGTGCATTGTGGGAATTTTATTTTTATGTTTTGTTTGTTTCTGGGTCACATTTTTATGCCAAGCAAATGTTAATGACAAAAAAACTCTTGTGGGGGGAAAAAAAAGTGGAAGATAATGAACAAAAGAAGAAAACACCGAAACACAAACAAGTTTCGAATTAAAAAGGAGGAAAAAAAAAACTGTTGCTTAGGAACAACCTCTGCTAAACCTGACTCCACCACCCCACCACCACCACCACCTTCCACCCTCAACACACACACATGCACACGTGCACACAGCTACGTGCACCATAGGAGACAAGATCAGACGCTTCAAGAAAAGTTGGGGTTATTTCTCGCTGTTCCTAAGCAACAAGTTGGCTGTTTTCTTGCCTCCGCTGTATCTCCGACGGCTCCGCTGGAGATTAATAGTCAGAAACAGAAATTAAGCTGACCGCAAAACTTTAGCAATTTTTTCATAAGTCCGCTTTATGTTCGAGGGAGGCAGAAAAAAAAAGGCTGCCGTCAACTCAGTGGCACCGCAGGGAGTGATGGAAAAAAACTCATCAGATGTAAAATCTTCCCCTTTTGTATGGAGATTACTGCATTATGCCTCAGTATTCTGCTGGTTCTAGTGGAGCAGCGTGTGGTGAGAAATGTTGATCATTGCATTTCATACTAAATGTTTGTAAATTTATGAGTTTTAATATCCGCAGCACAGTGTCAACAGGCAATATCAACTAATTAAACACACATTTTAAGCCATATAATAGCGATGACACTTATTGATCCCTACGATTGCGCAATCAGCGCAACACACTGACAGAAAAATAATCTATTAGGGTCATGTTGCAAGAAGCCGGTGATCGGAACATTTTTCTATTTTTTGCATCTTTTTGAACACGTAACAAAGGGAACGTAATGAAAACAGATGGCAACCTATATTTGCACTGGCAGAGCTTTTTTTTTATATTTAACCCTCACACTCTGAGGGGTTTGGTTGGCAAGGCAACAGATTCTACAGCCTGTTTTTTAATGACTGCATCTCAATAGTCCGGATCAGCCTCCTTATCCCTCCATCTTCCCTGAGCGAACACGAGTAAGTCCGGGCAGGTATCGTGTGTGTCGAAAGGGCTCGATGTTCCACTGACAGGTAATTTGCAGCCAGCTCACCAGAACCTTCATCAATATCTCTTCAAGCCAATGCTGAGATCAGAATCTACAGCTCTGACTGCCTTTCAGACTTAAGCCGCTTAAAACTGAGTTTTAAATCGATCATTTTTTGGTTTTTTTACAGACTTTGTTCGAAAACTCTTACTTCCACTTTCCTAACAGTGAAACTGAAGAGATGCTGCAACAGGTGAGAAGATCTTTTGGGTGAAAAAGAAATAATCTGATTTTATGTTGCAATGCTACACTTATAAGGGAGATCATGTCGCAACAAGTAGACTACACAAATTCTTAAAATGTTAAAGTTTAGATGTGAAAAAACATTATTTAATATAAAAATAATTGCATTTAGCCTCAACAAGCGGTCAAAAACCCTCTCAAAACCAAAGGTTTTGTGTCCTAATGAAACAAAAAGTAAACTCTTCAGCCGTGACTGAAAGAGCTATATTTAGAGGAGAGCGGGCAAAGCTCATTGCCCATTTACCAGATCCCCACGGTGAGGCAATGAGGTGGCAGCAGTGTACTGGGAGGCCGCTGCTGCTGCTGCTGAGTGGCGGGAACTGGGACACTTAAAGCGAGTGAGTCAGTATCAAGTGAAAGGCACATAAAAATCAGACGTGCATGACATTTTGTTGTGCAAATGGATTTGACAGTCAGTGCTACATACGCTGCATCAGTAAAAGCACTTTAAAAAGCCCGGTAAAGGAGAAAAACAGATATTTGTGA